ATATCCTAGAAATAATAGAAACCTTTGTGGTCACCAGATGTGCTCAAGGCATATCCTAGAAATAATAGAAACCTTTGTGGTCACCAGATGTGCCCAAGGCATATCCTAGAAATAATAGAAACCTTTGTGGTCACCAGATGTGCTCAAGGCATATCCTAGAAATAATAGAAACCTTTGTGGTCGCCAGATGTGGCCAAAGCATATCTGAGAAAGAATAGAAATTTATGTGGTAAACAGATGTGCTAAGGCATATACTAGTAGCTAAACAAAATATTAATTTTTTTAAATAAATTGTAAGTCAAATAACGTAATATAGGATATTAAAATGGAGAAAATGTGAAGTTGTGCTAGCTGCAGTTAAGCCATCAACCTTGGATTACTTTACCGACATAAAGAATGAGCTACTATCATTAATAAATGTACACATTCTGGTTTGATCTTATCATGAGGATTTCTTTCATACTTCAGGCATAATGCTTTAATTGATCTAAATGTATATATAACTTCTGTTTTTTATGTGAATTGAATAAAGTAATGACATTGAACTGATGTCAAAATTGAACAAACTATTTTGTGTTCTAGAGTATATCAGGCCGTGGCAGTGTTGCCAGTTCAGATAAGGACAGTTCAGTCCATTTGGATGAGGACGTTGACCAGGTGTTTTCCTATCACTGTTCTAGTCAAGCCAGTCTTACTACCTTCAGTGTAAGTAAACAGTGTCTATATTTAGAAATGTTAGAACAGCTGTTGCTTTGTTTTTATTTGTGGTTGCATTTCATAATAAATGCTTGTTTAATTACTCTTTGAGGCTCATGACTTAAATACAAAAGCTTGTTTTTGGTTTCATATCTAATCAGTAATAATAGTAATATTTTAACTACAAATTTAATGTTAGTAGACTTGTGATTTGTTCCTGTGCTATTTATATTTAGTTAATTAAGCTTCCTATAAACTACTTTTTTTCAATAAAATAATTGTATTTGTTAAATAAAATAAAAGTTAAAATAAGACTGAAACTGTTTGGATTAAGATTGTTAGTAAGCTTGGAATGAACATTGTTCAACTGTAAAAATTTGCGAGTGCAGAAAAATGTTGAAATAAGATCTTTAGCAGGTTATAAGAGTTTCTATATAATGTTGTCTCCCTTTAACTACAGATAGGTAGATGAATAATGGGATAAATCAAAATGAACCACAATTAATAAGTCAATCAACTAAAAACAGTGAATAACTTCTAATCTTATTGAAAAGTTTGTTTTTGATAATGCAACTACAATAAATAAAGATTGTTTCCTTACTGATGGTTCTTGGTTGGGTGAATAAAACATTTGGTGATTGACAAGTAATTTCTAGTAAGGATCCATGTAGTTATGTGAGCCCTAATTTGGACTTATTTGATGTTTAAAACTTGCAAAGAATTTTGATGTTCGATGTGCTTACTACTTTTGTAGGAAATGAATTCATATCCATAAGATACCAAAGTTCAAGAAGTCCAGTAACACAAACAGTTTTTGGTAAATAGACTTTTCACCTCATTGTAAATAGATTTTACAATGAGAGATTGAAAGTATAAGGAGCTGCCAAAGACAGTTCAGTCTACGGGGGTCTGGGGGCATGCCCCTCAGAAAATTAACATAGTAATATAGTTTACAGTTGCTGTACAAGTCAAATATGTAAAAGTGGTGGTGCGACAGCACCCCCAGTTTCAACGCCTCCAGTGTTAAATAGTGTTTAATTGTAATTTGCTTATGCTTTCTAAGCATCATTAAAGTCTTGAAAATAAATTTATGAGGTAAAACAGTTTATATGAAAAATGTTTCAGTTTACAAACTTGAGTGATGAACTTCTTAGTTATTGTCATAAATAACTGGATACATGAAGGAACTGTGTGAAAGAAAGAGTAATAAAACAAATGTTAGGTATATAACACTTTATTTAAATAAATTGATTTGCTTAATTTTTTTTTACATTTTATTGTCATTTGTTTGTTTTTGTTTTAGCACAATGGTCCATCTCTACTATGGGGATCAACCTTGAATGTTAGTGTTATAAGCTTGCCACTGGGGGATACTATATTTGTTAATGTAAAAGAACAATAATTCAGCTTGATAGTACACCTTCACAGAATTATTTCAGTTAGTTCACAGTTTACATAAAAATATCCATTTTTTGTGCATAATACACTGATACAAATTGTTTTAAGCATTGTCAATCAGAGTAAACCATAATGATTATTACCATGCTGAGATACTTAGAAACAAAAAATAACTTTGTTAAAAGCTTATTTGAATCACTAACTAGAAATTAGCTGGAGAACTTACTTTTTAAAAAGCATTGCAAATCTAAACCTACTTGTCATTTGTGCCTGTCAAGAAATTTTCCAGTGTTCTTTGCTTGTCATGTAATAATTAATATAGTCAATATGTGGGTATAGAAAGTCAAAAATAATTTTGAACTGCATGTCATGAAAATTTAAGTAAAAAAATAATTACAAATAAAGAATACAAATGAGTTTTAAACACTTCAATCATAAATAGTTTAGAATAAGTTTTAGTGCTGAAATGAAAATTATGTAGTTTTTAATAGTCACAGATGATGGATAAAGTTTACGTTCAACTCTTAGTTAGGCTTATATAGTAATTCCTTTATTCAGGATGGCAGGGATATAAACTTACAATCTGAAATAAAAGTTTAGGGATTATGATTATTATGCAGTTACCATTAACTTTTCACCATGGTATCCCTAGTCAGTAGATTGCATAAACAAAAACTTCAAGCAGTTGTCTTTCACATTTGTTACCATATTTTGCAAGCATTTCTATAATACGGGCTTACTTTTTTCCTTAACCTATGTACAGAGAAGTAGTTTTTTTTAGTAGTCTTTTTCTTTAAATAATGTTTTAGAAGTAAGTGAGAACTTTTATTTTCTTTAGAAAAAAAAAGATTAATAAACAAGAGTTGAAAGTTCCAATTTCTTCTTAACATGCCTTGAAATATGTGAGGTGATATATTTAAAAAAAATAGTTCACAGGTGTTGCTTCATGAGATATTCCAAAATTGTGTGATTGTTTTTATGGTTTGATTTTATCATGTTTAAGTTTCATTGTAATTATCTCAGAATCATTTATATAATAAATAATCCACAAAATTATTTTTAATAGTGTATTATAACATGTTTTTCAGCTCTTTAACATAATCCTTGAAACAAAAATAGATCCAAGCAGAAAAATTGTCTTGCCAAGGCAACCCATTTTAAATTGTTTTTTGCAAATGCATTAGAAAATGATGTTGGTTTTAGTGTCACTGCAGTAAACTTGGTTGCCATCCAGTCCTGTTTACACTTCTCTTCTACAGCTTCTTACTTGTGGATTTTTGTTTAAAATGATGCTTTTGATTTAATTGGTATTATTAAGGTCATTTATTCTAATTTCAGCTCATAAAAAAATCCATGTTGGGAAGCACAGATAGCACATTGTTTAGCTTTGTGCTTAATTACAAACAAACAAACATAAAAAAATATGTAATACATGTACAGTGATCTTTTGGAATAGTTAGTTATTTGTGGAGATAACTTTCATGATAACAACTTGAATGGTTTGTTTTTCTTATTAATTGCTCACAGAACCAAACCATCTTCATCAACATAGTGTCAGCATAAGCTTGTGTTGCTGTTGAAACATTAATTCAACTCGGTTGTGTTACACAGCATCTTTACATCATGCAGTGCAGAACATAAACCTGTCTGTTGATTCAACTATCCTTTACAGCCTGCTATAAAATATATGTTACAGAATGTAATCAAAAACATAAAAGCATCAAATGGATATTATTTACAACATAGAAAATTAAACAAAATTAGTGTCCACAAGGTGATTCTCTTTTTATTCTTGTGCATTAGTCAAAAGTTTATAGCAGTTTGCAGTAGCAGATGGAGTTAATGTTGTGACTCTTTTTGTTGAATTTTATTTTGGCTTCCCAGGGTCACCTCAACTAAACAGAATAGCGCACATGTAGTGAATATCTTGTAAGGTTATTATTTTATTATTGAAGTTCAAACATTAACCTTGTTTAATAGATGGCTTGATTAACAGTACAGTCACATCTCTCAAAGCCCTTCTTAATGACATGCCATCACATAAACTAACCAATTTTCAAATCCAGACACATAATTTTCCAACTGTCAAATCCAGATAAACCTAGTTATTTAATTGTTGATTCAGCAGATATACCTAATCACTTGTTAATCCAGACAAACATACTTATCTAATTATTAATCCATACAGATGTGCCTAATCAATTCTTAATTCAGACAGACATAATTTATATATGAAAATATTAATCCACACTAACAAAGTTACCTGTTTGTGACGTAGAAACCACAGAGCATATTAAAACTATTTTTATGTTTTGCATATTATTATGAAGCATAACCTTTGCTCATAGTAAAACTTGTGTACGTTTTCAAGACATTTGTGTTGATTACAGGGCCGTAGTGAGAGCATGACAAGTGTCTACAGCGCAGCTGGTGGAGGAAGGTATGGTACTGTTACTGTCACGGGAGATGTCCTCTTTAGTCTCAGCTATAACTATAAAAGCAGCATTCTTGAGACTCTTGTAAAAGAATGTCGCAACTTGGCAGCAGTGGACTCCAAGCGTAACCGCTCAGACCCGTGAGTAATCAGTCATACAGGGAAATATTTAGATATTGTATTTTATCAATCACATCAACATCATTATGGGACATGTTTTTTGAAATCCTTCTAACAAAACAGAATAATGCTTGATAACTTTCAATATTTGATGTCCTCACAGCCTCTTTGTACTTTGTGGAAAGAGACATTTGACACCTTTTTTTTAGCTAGTAGTTAAATATTTTCTGGTAACTAATATTTTTGTTATTGTTTGATTTGTGTAAAAACTACATAATTTTTTTTAGTTGAAAATTAAATGTTAGTTTCAGAGAATGAACAAAAACTGATTAATTTTCCCTGCAGTGTTTTCAAGGTGAACATTATATTAACTTTTATTGCAAAACTGTTTCTAACTTCAACTCTGTTGAGATATTTGTTTAAATTATCCATCTTTGCATTGTTATCTTGTGCTGAAACATCATGGATTAACAGCATGAGCTTTCTAGAAGTGCATAGGTTGTGTGTGTGTGTGTGTGTGTGTGTGTATGTATATGTATATTTTGTGTGTGTGTGTGTGTGTGTGTGTAT